ACTGGTAGGTCGTGTACTGCTGACCGCGCAGCAGTGTCTGCCTGTTCATTGCCCTGTACGTCAACATGACCAGGGACCCAACAAAAACAATATCTTTATGCTTGGTAAAGATGCGGCGTAGCCAAAGTTGGATACAGAGGACTAAGGGGTGAGGTGTATCAAATTTCTGTATAGCCTGTAAAGCACTAAGGGAGTCTGATGACACAGGCATAGATGCAATACGGATAAGTGCTGTAAGGATGGCATACAATTCAGCAGTAAAAATACTAGCCGAAGATAGTAAATGCCCTTGTACGACGCTGTCCGGAAACACTGCTGCGAAACCTACGCCGTCAGAAGACTTAGATCCATCTGTGTACACAGCAATGGCATGAGAATGAGAGTGAAAGTGGTCAAGAAAAAGAGAGCGGGAAGCGACCGTAGACAGTTGAGCTTTCGAGCAAGGGAGAGAGAAAGAACAGACTCGAACAGCTGGAACTTCCCAGGGGGGTAGGGAAAAGTGAGATGCTACATGTACATAGAAAGGTGGTAATTGAAGAGAAGACAAGAGCGAATGAAGGCGAAGAGAGAAGGGACGGAGTAAACAGGGGCGGCGAACAAATAAAGAATGTCTACTAATATCAGTGACCATTCTATAAATGGAAGGATTGCGGAGATCATGAGAGAGTACATAGTAGCGAAGGCAATGGGCATCATGGCGATCGGATAAGGATGGAACGTTCGCTTCTGCATAGAGGCTCTCGACAGGGGAAGAGCGAAAAGCACCAAGGCATAAACGTAATCCTTGGTGATGAATGGGGTTAAGACTAGAGAGAGTAGCAGGAGAAGCCGCTGAATAGATCTGGTCACCATAATCAAGTTTCGATAAAGTAAGGGTGGAATGTAGGCGAAGGAGGGTTCGACGATCAGCTCCCCATGAAAGATGAGCAACGGTTTTAAGAAGGTTCAGCCGGCTGTGACAAATTGCCTTCAGAAAGGTAATGTGAGGATTCCAGGATAACCTACGATCAAAGAGGAGACCCAGAAACTTGACTGTATCACGTTCAGGGATACGGGAGCCATAGAGGTACAAAGGATGATCGGAGATGACAGAGCGTCTAGTGAAAGTAATTTGGTGGGTTTTAGTGCTGGAAAATTTAAACCCATGTGTGGTGGCCCAATTGGAAACACGGTCGACTGCATGCTGGAGAGAAACTGTAATAAGGTGACAGTCAGCGCCTGCACAGGCAATAGCGAAGTCATCAACATAGAGTGATGACCAAATATTTGATGGAAAACTAGAGGCCAAATCATTAATAGCAAGGAGAAAAAGTGTTGTGCTCAGAACACATCCCTGCGGGACACCTTCAGCTTGGATAAAGCCCGGGGAGAGCACATTATTAACCCGAACACGGAAATGCCTGTCAGTTAAAAAGTTCTTAAGGAAGGATGGTAGATTGCCTCGAAGGCCTAAGGAGGGGGCTTGGGCTAAAATATTATACCTCCAAGTTGTGTCATATGCCTTCTCAAGGTCAAAAAATATGGCAATAACTGAGTGGTTATTCGCAAAGGCATTACGAACATACGTATCCAAGCGTAGTAAGGGGTCTATGGTAGAACTCCCTTACAAAAACCATATTGACGAGTGGAGAGACTGTTGTGTGTCTCTAAATACCACACTAAACGTCTATTTACTAGGCGTTCCATCACTTTGCAAACTGCACTGGTAAGAGCAATGGACGATAGTGGGAGGTTTCATGTCCCGTAGTGCCTGGTTTGCGGAAAGGGAGAACAATGGCGGATTTCCAAAACTGTGGAAAGAACTCCTTGTGACCAAATAAGATTGTAAAGGCGTAATAGGGGCTGCAAGGGCTGACTGATGTAAATGTTGTAGCATACGAATATAAATATCGTCGGCCCAGCTGCCGATGATCGGCAAGCTAAGAGTGTTGCCTCCAGTTCTTGAAGTGTAAAAGGCACATTATACTGTTCTTCTCTGAGAGAAGAAAAGTCCAAGGGTGCTAACTCTCTGGCAGACTTTGAGGAAATAAATGAGGGGCATAGATGGAGTCCCTGAGAAATACGGACCAGATGATTGCCAATTTCATTGGCAACATCTAGTGGGTTTGCTATATCAACACCGGCAACCCGCAGAACAGGAGCCGGGTCAGGAGAATATTTACCACTCAGTTTTCGTACTTTTTTCCAGACTGCACTCATAGAGGAAGCAGAGGTGATGGTGGAGACATAATCTCGCCAGCAAGTGCGTTTAGCATCACGGATGACACGGCGAGCGATCGCACGCTTCTGCTTAAAATCAAGAAGTCTCTCTGTGGTTCTATTGTACCGGTACCTGCCCCATGCAGTGCGTCTCAAACGTACTGCACGAGCACAAGCAGGAGACCACCAAGGCACGCATTTCTGAGAATGCCTGTCCGAAGTTTGGGGTATAGAATGAGAAGCTGTGGTTAAAACAGAGGACGAGAAGAGGTGTAAAAGCTCATCGATGGAGGACGAAGAAGGAACCTCTCTAAAAACAGTTAGGTGTGAGTAAAGGTTCCAATTTGCCTGATCAAATTGCCAGCGTGGGATGCGAAGAGGTGGTGAATATGAAGGGGAAGTAAGAATGATTGGGAAATGATCGCTGTCATGTAAGTCCAGAAGAACAGACCAAGTGAAGTCTAATGCAGCGGAGGAAGAGCAGACTGAGAATTCGATGCAAGAGAGAGTATGAGTCCGAGGATCAAAATGGGTGTGAGTACCTGTATTTAAAACGTGGAGGGGGTGGGTGGCAAGAAAAGCCTCTAACTGAATGCCACGGGAATCACAGTGAGACCCCCCCCCAGAGGAAATGGTGGGCATTAAAATCACCAAGTAACAGAATCGGTGGTGGTAATGACGAAACAAGAAAGGCAATATCCGGAATAGATAATGCCCGAGAAGGAGAGAGATATAAAGAACAGAGCGTATACCACCTATGCAAGTGGATACGGTCTGCTGTGTAATGCAGCGAAGTACGAACAAATAGCTGATGGTACGGAATATCAGTGCGTAGAAGAAGGGCACTTTCATTAAAGGTCCCATCAGGAAAAGGATCTGAAGAATACAATAAATTATAGCCTGAGATGGGACAGATAACAGCAGAGTGTAATTTTGGTTCCTGTAAGCAAACACCAACAGGGGAAAACTGGGAGAGTAACATCTGAAGCTCACCCTGATTACCCCTGAGGCCGCGTATATTCCACTGTAAATAGGCCATGATTGGCAATGATAAAGATACCTGAAATCCGCAGGTAAGGGTTCCTACGGACTAGAGGGGTTAGAAAAGTTCACATGCGGAGGCAGTGGAAAACGTTCAAGCAGCGAAGGAACGGTGCCCTGTGAAGAAAGGAGTTGCGCAGATGGAGTAGAGGAGAGAAGGAGCGGAGGATGGATCAGTGTCCATTGATGGTTTGGTCTCTGCAATATATTCAGAGATTGCTTCAAGTGTTTCAGAATTCAGAGACGCGTATGTGAGACAATATTGGAAATGGTATTGGAGGATGAGTAAAGATTGGAACTGTAAATGGACTTACCAAGGTAAGGGGGAGGGCGAAAGGGTGAGGGAACTGGAAAGCTGAAGGACAAAGAGGCAGAAACCTGGAGGTGGCAGAAGAGGAAGAAACTGGGGGGAACAGGGGAGGAAGTACAGTACGAGGAGGAGGGTGAACTCTACACTTTAACAGAGCATGAGAGGGGGAGAACCAGTAAGAGAAAGGAAGGTAAAATAGGAGTGAAGATGGGTAGGAGGGTTAACGGACCTTTTTTTGACTTTTGAGAATAGAGGGACATTGGAAAGGAGGTGTCATGAGATCCGTCGCTAACTGAGGGTTGTGAGAGAGAAACGGGAAAAAGCGAGATCAGACTGAACGTTGAAGTAAGGACGTCTGAGCCCGAGGACAGCAAAAGAATAGCTACAGGAAATGACCATGGGAGAGGTAACCCAAGGTGGGGGCAGAAGATGGGATACCAGAAGTGGGGGACGTTTTGAAACAGGAATAAAAACACAAGGTAGTCTCCCTGGACGGGGAAAGAGAACTCCCATGGCATAAGGGAGACCTTCTGCCTCTTTGAGGTAACGGATTTCCCGCTCGTTTAAGTAGACTTGACAACGGCGAGAGTACGAAGGGTGAGCCTCATGACAATTAAGGCAAGAGGGAGGTCGATTGCAAGACGTATTAGAATGGTCATCGGCACCACAGACTGGGCATTCAGCGATAGATCTGCAATATTTCGCTGGATGGCCAAATCGCCAGCAATTTCTACACTGTTGCGGTGTAGGGATCACCTTTCGAACTTGTAACCGATGTCCTGCTACATAACTGAGGATGGGAGTTTCACGGCTGTCGAAAGTTAAACGAGCCACATTGCTGGGGTATCGTCTCCGCCCGCGGGTAGGAAGAACGTAAGTGTCTACCTTGAGGATTGGGAGATCTTGGAGTTCCAGCTGTTCAAGATTTGTCAGTGCCACATGTCTGGAAATTTTGTTGAACTATGGTATGGGGCAGAATGACGGTACCACTACAAGAATTGAGGGAATGATGCTTTTCAATAGTTACAGGAACAGTATCGATATGGGAAAGACGAGAAAGCTCATGAGCCTGGGTAGCATTCTGTACGGTGACGATGCGCGTACCGCTCTTAAGAGCATGAAAAGAAATATCTTTACCAACATGGCGTAGGAGTGCCTTGCCAATACTGTGGTCAGAAACATAGGCAGTAGAGGAAGTCGGTTGTAAAGTGAAGAATTTAGTCCATTGTGCAGTCTGAAACTGAGCGTGGAAAGGTAGTGAAGGACATGTCGATCTTTTCTGAGAAGAACGAGAAGGTGGAGAAGTATCATCAGCAGGTAATTGTCATTGGCGTTTAGGCGTGGGACCAGAGTTGGTCTGACGTGGAACGGGCCGGCGATTCGAAAATTGCCACACTGTAGAGGGAGAGGCCGGAAGCATAGTCAGAGGAGAGCGAAGGTCAGATAAATCGAAGGAGTCAGTCGAGGCCTCAGTACCTGAAGCGGGTGAGGAAACAGCATCGGCAAGAGGTACAGAGGCATGAGGAGTGTCCGAAGAGTGGTCCAAAGACGAGGCGGGGTCAGAACGGGGTGCAGTATCAAGAAGGGGCCCGGGGGTAGCAGGTTCATGGACTAGGGCTGCCATGGTTAGGTTACTTCTTTCTTTTTGTTTTTAAGAAAAAAAAGAAAGAAAAGAAAATAAAAATAAAAAGAATAAAAAAAGGGGGGACCGGGGAGGGATAGTTCCTAGGAGGAATGAAAAAGCCAGAAATCTCGCTCCGCGCCCAAGAGGACCTCAGCACCGCAAGTAGCGCAGATGCAGCATGGAACCCGTGCCATACCCTACCCATCATGCCAGTAAACCGGCAATCCGGGATAGCAACCTCACATCTGCCGAGCTACCTCGGTGGACAAAAGAGAGGGCGGTCGGAAATCCGCCACAATGCATACCTCCTTCGGCCACCACCCCCGGAATCCGAAAGGTGGCTTCCAGAGATACACCCGTCGCCCAAGAGACACCCAAAGCCACCCTCCGGGATACCGGAGAGGGATCAGGACATCCCCAGGCAATCCAGATTCCATGGCAAACTACGCCACTGCCAAGAACCTCAACGGAATGGGATGGACCCCGGTACCCTTTCCCCTACCTAGAAACTAGCATGCCTGTGGGAAAAAAAAAAAAAAAAAAACCAAAGGCCAAAAAGGAAGGGTAAAAGGGAGGGGTGGGGAGGAGGAGGAGGAAAGGAAAAAGGGGAGGATGGGATAGGGAACGGGGGACTGGGGGGTAATTAGGTTCGGTCTGAGGAAGTAGACCGACAGGTCTATTTCCTCAGACCAAGAGCCTCTTCACCACGCCAAGGAGCCCCCCTTGAAGAGGTCAGTCCTATATAACACTTGCCCTCCATTTTGAATATATTATCATAAAAAATTTATGTTATTCCCTATTTGTCAGTTAATAAACCATAATCATGAATGCTTGATCATGATTTAGGCTGTCTCAGTAATTGAAACAGACCTAGTATAAACCCATAAAACAGAGGGAGGGAGAGGGTCCCTGTCCTTCCCCAGGAAAATTGCCCAAAAATCTACCATTTCTGGCACTTTGTGGTGTACTTCAAGCCACTTTTAGTCTTAAACTGACTGAACTGTTTCCTGTCACTAGTATGTCTTCTGGTCTATCTAAAGGCACCAGGAAATGGCCAATAAAACTACAAAACCCACTCTAGAAAATGCCTCCAAGTCACTATTTTAACTCAAAGGTCACAAGTTGCTGTTCCCATCATGCACTGCATAAGGCAGGATTTTTTTTTTTATATGGCATACAACCAACACACAGACCCATTCTCTCTCAAGGTAAAAATCAGCAGCTCTCAGCAAATATGAGGATGATTTGAATTAGGTGTACTAGTACATCATGTACTCCAATTGCTATGAAGCACTGGTACGTATAGGGGTTATGATAATCTCTCAACCCCTTGCCTGTGTAGACTGTACTTACAAGCTACAAAGAGTAAATGCATGTACATCAACAAATACTATGTCAAATTTTGTAAATTTTTCTTAAATGATTACAACATTCTTTAGTACAATCATAAATGTGACTAGTGAATCAACAATTTTATATAAGTATCTGAATTTACATAATTACAGATCTCTGAAACTTTAATAAGTTCATACAAATACAGCTATTCTTTAATACTTGTCCTTTATATAATTCTTCATTAATGGCTAGTATACTACTGAAGGAATCAGTATATAATTTTAATTCAAGCATTAGATTTCTTTAAAAACTTAACTAATATTTTTATATACTGACATCTTAACATAAATATTATAGTTTCACTTAAAACTACCAGTTGCTGTTAAGCACCAAATTATAGCAACCTGTAGAGCAATTAACATATCAAGAAATTATCAAATATTTAGCTTATGGCATAAAGATTTGCAATGTATTGTTTACTGATCTTCAACTGTTTCACTGTGAGTCTCGACCAAGTTATGTGAATTAATAACTCCTGTGATGTGGCAATTTGATTCCAAGGCAACACGAGAATCTGAGCAAGTAAGGAAGGCCTTCTCCAATGTTCTTTGGAAAGGAGATTTAACCACAGAGGTTTGTTTGGATATAAAGCCTAGGGTACTATCACCAGAGGTATGCCTCACTCCAAATCTGAAAAGTATAATAAAAGATTTAAGAGCTGATATACTCTGAGAGACATCAATACATATAGCCTAGGAACTTTAGGATAAAAATAAAGGATGACTGAAATTTTTTATATAAAAGCTCAAAACTGGTAGAGATATAAAGATGGTTAGTAAGCTGGTAGACAGCAGCCACCCAGGAAGGTACTACCATCCTGCCTTAAGTGTAAAACAGAAACCTATTAATCAATTTACATTTGGTGGCAGGATTGCCAGTCTTTTCTGTCTCTTGAACATTAAAAATGAAACTTAAATCTTCCTAATACTACTTACACCCAATATAAACTACACTTGCAATTATGAATGTATGTATATCTGGAACTATTTTGGTTCTGGGAGTGACCAAGGTCCCAGGACCAAGACATTTCCAACAAAATGTTATGTTTGGATTCAGTACAGGAGGGGCCCACATATACAGCACCCTCTTTTCAGTATTTCACATTTTTACTGGCATTCAATTAGGATACAGTTCATTATGTTCAGTACTTTTACAGCTTTTCTGCCATTTTCGTATAACAGTTGCACGAGGGAAGGGCAACCAGCACCATATTTTAAGGTACATAAGTATTGTAAGTATTACCAAATTTAAAAGAGAAACTTTCGTGTTTCTTTTTGGGCCACCCTGCCTTGGTGGGATATGGCCGGTGTGTTGAAAGAAAGAAGTATTGTAAGTACAGCAACACCTTGCATAGTAGAGTTAATGCATGTCAAATAATACTGTACTGTGCAATACCCTACTGATCAAGGTATTATTATAATGTGTTTTAATGTAATGCATTCCAACAATATGACTAAATGTGTTGGATTTCAAAAATATTTAGCCACTTCCTTAGTACAAATCAATGCATGTGAAACTGTTGTACATACTTGCATATAAAGAAATTATAAAAGATAAAAACAAAAAAGTAGTACTAAAGGCTTTTAGTACAGTTGTAAATAAACAATGTACCATGCATATAGTAAAGAAAAAGATCATTTTTATTTTGAAAAATACCTTAACTTAGTTTACACAGTTTTTGTTCTTTTTATAATCATACGTATCTTTATAGAATCAAATACCATTTTGTAACGTCCGCCTAACTCGAATGCCACATTCAATGTTTGGATCTGCGTTCATTATGAAGTCATGTGCATCTTTTACTTCCACAATTAATATAGATAGTTCATCCAACGTGAATTCTTTCATGGGCGGTACATATGTTTTTTTTTTATTTTATTAACACACTGGCTGTTTCCCACTAAGGCAGGGTGACCTGATAAAGGAGGAACACTTTCATCAGCATTCACTCCGTCACTATCTTGCCAGAGATGTGCCTACACTACAGTTGAAAAACTGCAACATCAATGCACCTCCTTCAGAGCGCAGGCACTGTATTTACCACTCAAATGCATTAAAATAAGCAAATTTGGGGCATTTTCTAGGGTGGTTTTCATGGTTTTATTGGCTGTTTCTTGGCATTAATTAACAGACTAGTGAAATGAAGAATATTTCTGTCAGTTTCAGACTGAAAGTGGCCTGAAATGGGTCTCAAACTGCTGAGAAAGAAAAAACAATCTTGTGTGTGATGATGGATTCAAAATGGAGAGCAAGAGTTTTATAGGAAAGGCCTGGGGACATGCTTAATGAGCAGAGGGCAAGTTGCTTTAGTGGCTTGAATGCTAGAAGTATTTGTTATGTACCTTTATTTTATTTTTTTTTTTTTTTAAGGTAGGGAGGGATTTGTTGAAAATACAGATGCTCTTCACTTTACAATGGTTCAACTTGTGATATTTTGACTTTATGATGATGCTATCGCATCATCGTAAAGTCAAAATATCATCGTAATACAGTACTGTACGATAAACTTGTATTCATTTATTTACTTTTCAGTACTGATATTTAGTCAGTTACAATAATTATTTGTTTATTTACTTATTCAGTGATAGTTATTTATTTATCTATCATATATTTAAGAAAAACAGGATAAATAAGTAAACATGATAGAGGGCATAATGACAGTAGTAGTTTGTTGGACTATATATTGGTAGATAAAAGACTATTGGGTAGACTTTAGGATGTATATGTTTATAGAGGGGACACGGATATATCAGATCACTTTTTAGTTGTAGCTACAGCGAGAGTAAAAGGTAGATGGGATACAAGGAAAATGGAAGCAGCAAGTAAGAGAGAGGTGAAGGTTTATAAACTTGAGGAGGAGGCAATTAGGATTAAGATATAAACAACTGTTGGAGGACAGATGGGCTAGTGAGAGTATAGGCAATGGGGTAGAAGATGTATGGGGTAAGTTTAAGAATATAGAGTTAGAGTGTTCAGCAGAAGTTTGGGGTTACAGGAAAGTGGGTGCGGGAGGAAAGAAGAAAAGCGATTGGTGGAATGATGATGTAACGAGAGTAGTAAGAGAAAAAGTTAGCATAGGGGAGGTTTTTACAAAGTAGAAGTGATGTAAGGAGGGAGGAGTATATGGAGAGAAAAAGAGAGGTTAAGAGAGTGGTGAAGCAATGTAAAAAGAGAGCAAATGAGATAGTGGGTGAGATGTTATCAACAAATTTTGTTGAAAATAAGAAAAAGTTTTGGAGTGAGATTAATAAGTTGAGAAAGCCTAAGGAACAAATGGATTTGTTAGTTAAAAATAGGAGAGGAGAATTATTAAACAAAGAGTTAGAGGTATCGGGAAGATGGAGGGAATATTATGAGTTGTTAAATGTTGATAAAGATAGGGAAGCTGCTATCTCGTGTATAGGGCAAGGAGGAATAACATCTTATAGGAGTGAGAAAGAACCATTTGTGAGTGTGGGGGAAGTGCATTGGGCAATGAGTAGAATGAAAGGGGGTAAAACAGCTGGGATTGATGGGATAAAGATAGAAATGTTAAAAGCAGGTGGGGATATAGTTTCGGAGTGGGTAGTGCTTTTATTTAATAAATGTATGGAAGAGGGTAAGGTACCTAGGGATTGGCAGAGAACATGCTTAGTTCCTTTGTATAAAGGCAAAGGGGACAAAAGAGAGTGTAAAAATTATAGGGGAATAAGTCTGTTGAGCATACCTGGTAAAGTGTATGGTAGAGTTATTATTGAAAGAATTAAGAGTAAGACAGAGAGCAGGATAGCAGATGAACTAGAAGGCTTTAGGAAAGGTAGAAGGGGGTGTAGACCAAGTGTTTGCAGTGAAACATATAGGTGAACAGTATTTAGATAAGGGTAAAGAGGTTTTTGTGGCATGTATGGATTTGGAAAAGGTGTATGATAGGGAGGATAGGGGGGCAATGTGGCAGATGTTGCAAATGAATGGATAGTGAGGCTCAGGTTAGAGTATGTAGGCGAGAGGGAGATTATTTCCCAATAAAAGTAGGCCTTAGACAGGGATGTGTGATGTCACCATGGTTGTTCAACATATTTATAGAGGAGTTGTAAGAGAAGTGAATGCTCGAGTGTTGGCAAGAGGTGTGGGGTTAAAATATAAAGAATCTAACAAAAAGTGGGAGTTGTCACAATTGCTCTTTGCTGATGACACTGAACAAAAAAATTAGGTAACGGAAGACTGGATATCAGATTGGAGGGAGAGAGTATGGAGGATGTGAATATTTTCAGATATTTGGGAGTGGATGTGTAAGCAGATGGGTCTATGAAAGATGAGGTAAATCATAGAACTGATGAGGGGAAAAAGGTGAGTGGTGCACTGAGGAGTTTGTGGAGACAAAGAACTTGAACCATGAAAGCAAAGAGGGGATTGTATGAGAGTATAGGTATACCAATGCTCTTGTACGGGAGTAAGGCATGGGTTGCGAATGTTGCAACAAGGAGAAGGCTGGAGGCACTGGAGATGTCATGTCTGAGGATGATGTGTGGTGTGAATATAATACAGAGAATCCATAGTTTGGAGATTAGGTGGTGTGGGATTACCAAACTTATCCAGAGGGTTGAGGGGGGGGGTTATTGAGATGGTTTGGACATGTACAGAGGATGGAACAAAATAGAATGACTTTGAGAGTATAAATCTGAAGTGGAGGGAAGGCAGGGTAGGGGTCGACCTAGGAAAAGTTGGAGGGGGGAGGGAGGACGTTTTGTGTGCGAGGGGCTTGGACTTCCAGCAAGCGTGCGTGAGCGTGTTAGGAGCAATTGGAGACAAATGATTTTTAGGACTTGACATGCTGTCGAGTGTAAGCAAGGTAACATTTATGAAGGGATTCAGGGAGACCAGCAGGCCAGACTTGAGTCCTGGAGATGGGAAGTACAGTGTAGGCACTCTGAAGGAGGGGTGTTAGTGTTGCAGTTTTATAACTGTAGTGTAAGCATGCCTCTGGCAAGACAGTGATGGAGTGAATGATGATGAAAGTTTCTTTTTCGGGCCACTCTGCCTTGGTGGGAAATAGCCGATGTGCTAAAAAAAAAATCATATTCAACTTGTGATATTTTCAACTTGTGATGGGTTCATCGGAATGTAACACCATTATAAGTCATGGAGCACTTTAGTGTAAAATTGTTTTACAATTTTGCAACTGGATATAATGTTCTGCAGCAAGGGGCTAGTAACCTCTTCTCTTGTATAAATTACTAAATTAAAGAAGAACTTTCGTTTTTATTTTTAGGTCACCCTGCCTCAGTGGGATATGGCAGGTTTGTTGAAAAAATATATATACAGTGGAACCTCGATTTTCGTCTTTAATTTGTTCCAAAATGTTTGACAAAAAACGAACTCGGCAAACACTGAAGTAATATTTCCCATAAGAAATAATGTAAATCCAGTTAATTCATTCCAGACACCCAAAAGTATTAACAAAAAATACATTTTATAGAGAATAACTATAGTTTTGCATACAAAACAATGAGAAATAAATATAAAGGACTAATGAAATGGATAAATAAACATTTAACGTAACTTTTACCTTTACTGAAGACTCTTGTTGGCGTATGGAAGACGACGAGGAGGGGAGAGGGAGGAGAGGTTATTGTTTGGAAGGGAAATCCCCCTTCCATAAGGACTTCAGGTATCAAGTCCCTATCTGGGGTTACTTCCCTCCTTTGTCTTTTACTGGCACAAGGACTAGCTTGAGAGTCACTGGGTCCCTTGTCATGAAAAGAATCTGTCCAGAGAGGTCTGTTCCTGGCATCTCTTTAAGATTTGCCTAAAATGGGATAAGACATTGTCATTGAACATGTTGCAGACATGGCTTACAACAGCTTTGCTAGGGTGATATTTCTCCAGAAAACTTTGCAACTCACTCCACTTTGCACACACATCCTTAATCACTGAAGAAGGCACATTCTACCCACTCTCTCTTCCTTCACCTCTGAACCAATTTCCTCAGCTACGATCTGTTGCTGTTCCAGTTGAAGGTGTTGCAGCTCTTCAGTGGTTAGCTCTTCCCTGTGGTTGTCCACCAACTCTTCCACATACTGGCCACACACTTCCAACCCCATGGACTTCTCCAAAGCCACAATAGATTCCACTACAGGTGTAGGGTTGTCAGGGTGAGCCTCAAACCCTTCAAAATCCTTCTCTTACCTGGAGGAGGTTGCCTGGAGGTTATTCCGGAGATCAACGCCCCCACGGCCTGGTCCATGACCAGGCCTCCCGATGGATCAGGGCCTGATCAACTAGGCTGTTACTGCTGGCCGCACGCAGTCCAACGTACGAGCCACAGCCCGGCTGATCCGGCACTGACTTTAGGTATCTGTCCAGCTCTCTCTTGAAGGCAGCCAGGGGCTTATTGAACACCCTCTTGAACACATTTTGGCCACACTTTCTCGCCTTTTTTATCAAAGGGCTGGCACTCTGAACTTGGTGGCTTATTTAGCAGTTGCACTCAATAAACATGCACAAAAAATGATGGATTATTACAAAATGTTTCGTATGAAAGAGCAGGGCAATGTTCACTCGACGAGAAACAAAGCCAGACTGACTCAGAACGCATGTGTGGGATGCTTTGTGTGGGTGTGAAAAGGCAGACACGTTCGATATGGCGGACAAAAACCGAGGTGAGGAACAAAAACTGGGACAAAATTTTGACAAAAAAAGTTGTCAAAAACTGAATTCGACAAAAACCAGGGCAAACGAAAACCGAGGTTCCAGCGTATATAAATTTCTGTACTTCAACAATAAGCCTAACTCTAGTTATTTCCTCTCCCCAAAAATTGAAAAGAAAACTCACCTTAATGAAGAAGTAACACTACCATTGCTGGAGCCCCCATTGATGGTTTTCTCACATCTGAAAGTCATTTGTCATTTTGATATTATGTTGTAGAAGTCACTATACATATAACTCTTGCACAACTTAGTTCAATATTTTTTTTTACCACACTCACTGTCTCCAACTGAAGTAGGGCGGCTCAAAAAAAAAAAATAAATAAATAAAAAACACATTCACAATTATTCATCCATTAGCTGTCATGTCTGAAGTGCAGATATAATTTAAATGACCCTCTGAACTGCAACACCTCACCCCTCTTCCAGAGTGCAGGTGCTCTGGAGCAAGTAAGTCAGATTTCCATGAATCTCTTGCTCATATTCCACAAGCACATTAAAACTTTACACACCACTTGTCTCCATTCACTCCGTTGTAATATGCACAAACCTGCTGGATGCTCAAGCTTCTAGTATTTAGAACCTCCTTCAATCCTCCTTCAATTGGGCTGCCACCCAAGCCTAATGAAACCTCTTGGCCTTCTTGTCCTACTCCATCCTCTCTAAATACCAAAACCACCTCAACAACCCCTCCTGTGCCTCACACCCATATAAAAGTGTTGATACCATTCCTTCCCGGTACATTCCTTTCTCATTAAATTGTCAAATGCTCTAAACTTCAGAACACTTGTGACTTAACCTGACCTTTGTTTCCTCTCCTTACCTCTTCACCTTTCTTATATTTTCATTGCCTTTACTGTCTTCTGCCCAGGTGGGTTCTGTTCTGTGGGAGGTTTTCTCCCACAAGGGATTTTGTCCTACCCCATGGGCTAGTAGCTCTCTTGCTGTGTTCCTCTATCTTTGCTCTTATAGACTACCTCCACTATTACTATTACAGGTTGAGTATCCCTTATCCACAATGCTTGCAGCCAGAAGTGTCTCAGATTTTGGAATTTTTTAGATTTTGGAATATGAGACAATTTGGGGATGGAACCCATTTATATTTCACATACAGCTTATACACAGCCTGAAGGAAGTTTTATATAATATTTTTAATAACAAAAACAATATTTTTAAAAGAAGAGGTCAAAGGGTTCTAATACAAAATATATACTAGGTCGTGAAACTTGAAAAAACTAATGAAAATTTAAAAATGGCACTGAAAGTATCAATATTTGTGATAAAAATTGAGAAATAGTCAGCTCTCAAACACTTGATAAACATATGAATATAAGAGCAGTGCAGTTAATTACTTGCTGAAGTAAGCAGGCCCTACTCACACTAATAATTACAGGAGAGAATAATAATAAATCACTGCAGTAGCCCCATGCTAGACAGGTCCAAATCAACTCCTCTACTTACCTTGGATACCTGTAAGTTACCTGAAGAGTGTTTTGGGCATCAAAGCATCCACAGCCTAGTTGCCGACCAAGCCTCTCAGCCCTATACGGTTATCGAGTCATTGCTTAGTGTACTCACTACAGCCCTGCTTTTCACTGGGGTATTTTCAACCATTTGTCAAGCTTCTAACTTTCATAAGGAAGAAATCTGTATGTGCAGACTTGGAACCAATACCTCTTCAGCCCTCTGACTAATACTTTTAGTAAATAACAAAAAGGCACAATACCGTGACTGGAACGATACACAAATAACCCGCACATAAAAGAGAGAAGCTTACGACGACGTTTCGGTCCGACTTGGACCATTGACAGTCAATGGGACCGAAACGTCGTCGTAAGCTTCTCTCTTTTATGTGTGGGTTATTTGTGTACTTTTAGTAACTCCGTACCTCCTCCTAATTTCCACACTTCAAATTCTATGCATAATATTTACACCACACACTGCCCTTAGACACGACATCTCCACTGCCTCCAGCCGCCTCCTCACTTCAGCATTTACAACCCATGATTCACACCCATATAAGAGTGTTGGTACCACTATACTCTCATACATTCCATTCTTTGCTTCCATGGATAATGTTTTTTGTCTCCACAGATAACTCAACACACCGCTCACCTTTTTTCCTTCACTAATTCGATGGTTAGCCTCATCCTTCATAAACTCATCTGCTAACAAATCAACTCCCAAATATCTGAAAATATTCACTTCCATACTTCATCCCTTCAATGTGATATTCAATTTTTCTTTATCTAAACTGTTTGATACCCTCATCACCTTACTCTTATCAATGTTCACCTTCAACTTTCTACCTCCCAAACTTGTCCACTAACCTTTGCAACTTTTCTTCAGAATCTCTCAAAAGCACAGTATCATCAGCAAAAAGTAACCGTGTTAACTCCATTTTGTATTTAATTCCCCATAATTTAATCCCACCTCTCCCCAACACCCTTGCATTTACTTCTTTTACAACTCCATCTATAAATATGTTAAAGAAACATGGCGACATTACACATCCCTGTCTAAGACCTACTTTACTGAAAGTAATCTTCCTCTCTCCTACAGACTCTAACGGAGTCTTACTATCCTCATAAAAATTCTTTACAGCATTTTAGTAACTTACTACCTATTTCATACACTTGCAACATCTGCCACAATGCTCCCCTATCCACTCTATCATATTCCTTTTCTAAATCCATAAATGCAATGAAAACTTCCCTACCTTTATTTAAATAATGTTCACATATATGCTTCAATGTAAACACTTATCTACACATCCCATACCCATTCTGAAGCCTCGCTGTTAATCTGCAATCCTGCTCTCTGTCTTACCTCTAATTTTTTCAATAATAATATTACCATACACTTTACTTGGTATACTCAGTAAGCCTATTCCCCTATAATTTTTACAATCTTTTTTATCCCCCTTCCATTATATAAAGGAACTATACATGCTCTCTGCTAATCCCTAGATACCTTCCCCTTTCATACATCTATTAAACAAAAATACCAACCACTCCAACACTACATCCCCTCCTGCTTTTAACATTTCTGTCTTGATCCCGTCAGTTCCAGCTGCTTTACTCCCTTTTATTCTACATAATGCCTAACGCACCTCCCCCACACACACATCCTGCTCTTCTTCACTCCTAAAAGAAGTTATACCTCCCTGTCCCATGCATGAAATTACTGCCTCCCTTTCTTCATCAATATTTAAAAGTTCTTCAAAATATTCCCACCATCTACCCAATACCTCCAGCCCCCCCATTTACTAACTCCCCTACTCTGTTTTTAACTGACAAATCCATTCATTCCCTAGGCTTTCTTAACCTGTTTATCTCACTCCAAAATTTTTTCTTATTCTCAGCAAAATTTGTTGATACTGCTTCTCCCACTCTATCATTTGCTCTCCTTTTCCACTCTCTCACCACTCCCTCCACCTTTCTTTTACATTTATGAAGGGGTTCAGGGAAACCGGCAGGCCGGACTTGAGTCCTGGAGATGGGAAGTACAGTGCCTGCACTCTGAAGGAGGGGTGTTAATGTTGCAGTTTAAAAACTGTAGTGTAAAGCACCCTTCTGGCAAGACAGTGATAGAGTGAATAATGGTGAAAGTTTTTCTTTTTCGGGCCACCCTGCCTTGGTGGGAATCGGCCAGTGTGATAATAATAAAAATAAAATAAAAATACTCCACCCTTGTTATATCACTTCTGCTTTGTAAAAACCTCTCATAAGCTACCTTTTTCTCTTTTATCACACCCTTTACCTCATCATTCCACCAATTGCTCCTCTTTCCTCCTGCACCCACCCTCCTATAGCCACAAACTTCTGCCCCACATTCTAACAATGCATTTTTAAAACTATCCCACCCCTCTTCAACCCCCCCCCCCCTGCATCCCTCCCCACTATCTATACTTGCACTAGCCCACCTTTCTGCTAATAGTTGCTTATATCTCACCATAACTTCCTCCTCCCAGTTTATAAACTTTCACCTCTCTCTTACTTGGTTTTGCCATTTTCCTTTTGCTCCATCTACCTCTTACTCTAACTATAGCTACAGCTAAATAATGATACGATATATCTGCTGTCCCTCTATAAACATGCACATAAGAACATAAGAATGTAGGAACACTGCAGAAGGCCTACTGGCCCATGCGAGGCAGGTCCTTATCAAAACGACCACTACCTAAAGATACCCAAGAAATAACTCCCATACCCAATGACACCATTCAAACCCAGCCCCTCCCACTCATATATTTGTCCAGTCTCTTCTTAAAGCTACCCAAGGTCCTAGCCTCTATCACCCCACTGGGAAGACTGTTCCACGCATCTACAACTCTGTTAGAAAACCAGTACTTACCTATGTCCTTTTTAAATCTAAATTTATCCAACTTAAATCCATTATTTCTGGTTCTTACCTGGTTCGACACCCTCAGTACTTTATTAATATCTCCCTTGTTTATGCCCGTCATCCACTTATACACTTCAATGATATCTCCCCTCATTCTACGCCTCTCCAGAGAGTGGAGATTTAAGGCTTTAAGTCTATCTTCATACGGGAGGTTCCTTACACAGTAAATCATTTTAGTCATTCTTCTCTGTATGTTCTCTAATGAGTCTATATCCATCCTGTAGTAAGGGGACCAAAACTGAGCAGCATAATCTAAATGAGGCCTCACTAGTGATGTATAGAGCTGTAAAATAACTTTTGGACTTCTGTTACTAATACTTCTTGAGATAAACCCAAGTAATCTGTTGGCCTTGTTGCGCACACTAAGGCACTGCTGTTTTGGCTTTAGATTTCTGCTCACCATGACTCCCAAGTCCTTTTCACATTCTGTAAGATCAAGCTCTACTTCACCTAGATTATAGCTTCGATGGTTATTTTCATTACCAAGGGCAAGTACCTTACACTTATCCACATTGAACTTCATCTGCCATTTTTCAGACCAGGACATTAATTTGTCCAAATCCTCCTGGAGTACATTGCTATCCTCCTCAGAGTGAATTATACGGCCTATCTTTGTATCATCAGCAAACTTACTCATGTCACTCGTAATCCCTTCATCAAGGTCATTAATGTAAATTATGAACAAGAGAGGGCCCAAAACTGATCCTTGTGGAATGCCACTAGTGACTAATCCTGAAGCATACCCATCAGCCTTTTATCCACCAATACATAACCTAACAAACTACTTTCATTACATGCTATATCATATCTTGTATACTTATTTATCCTCTTTTTTCATAATATATGTATTACTTACTACCAAACTTCTTTCTACACATAGCTCAATTAAAGGCTCCCCATTTTCATTTACCTCTGGCACCCCAAATTTACCTACTACTCCCTCCACAACATTTTTACCCACTTTAGAATTTAAATCCCCAGCCACAAGTACTCTCTCATTTGGTTCATAACTCATCACTCAACATTTCCCAAAATTTCTCTCTCTCCTCTACACTTCTCTGTTCTCCAGGTGCACAAACACTTACTATGACCCACTTTTCACATCCAACCCTTATTTTACTCCACATAATCCTTGAATTTATACATTTATATTCCCTGTTTTCCTGCCATAACTTATCCTTCAACATTATTGCTACTCCTTTCTTAGCTCTAACTCTATTAGAAACCCCTAACCTAATCCCATTTATTTCTCCCCACTGAAACTTTCCTAACCCCTTCAGCTATGTTTCACTTAGAGCCAGGACTTTCAACTTCTTTTCATTCATAACATCTACAATCATCTCTTTCTTATCATTTGCACTACATCCACGCACATTCAAGCATCCCGCTTTGACGGTTTTCTTATTATTTTTAGTAAGCTATGCGGGGAAAAGGGGTTACTAGCCCACTGCTCCCGGCAGTTTAGTTGACTTTTACAACATGTATGGCATACGGAGGAAAGATTCTTATTCCACTTCCCCGTGGATATGAAACGAAAAGTAATAAGAACAAGAACTATTAACTCTTTGAAGGTCCGTCCTCTAGTTCTATGGCTCTGAAACCAGGGTCTACGCCATGAGCTCAGCTCACTTGGATAAGCTGTGAGCAGTAAATTGGGCATAGATATGAGAGAATGCATCTATGTGGTAAATGTGCACTATATAAAACAAATCCTGCACCACACAATGCATAATGAGAAATAAAATAACTGTGACCGTGTTTTTGGATTAAAACAGCGACTTTGCGGTGTATATTCGTAAGTCTGTTACGATTGTATTCACGGTTTCTTGGTCTCATTTGATAGCATGGAAGATATATTACAGAAATAGAGACGATTTTCATTGGTTTTAGTACTGAAAATTGTTTGAAACCGAGCTCAAACTATCGGAAATGTTCGATTTTTGCCGATGTTCAAGAGTAAACAAATGACCTCACGCGTCCAATGTGCTGGTGGGTCTAATATGCGTTCACAAATGCACTGATGTTATTTATACAATTACTATTATATTGCATAACAGTAAATCTTCTATTTTTTGGTGTGAATAAAAATTCATTATGTGAATAAAAAATCAAAATGGAATTCATCTTTAAAGCCTGGAAATGTAACTAATGAACAGAGGAAATGTTATTTTAGTGCAAGGAATGCCTTCATTGTTTATTCTGGACCCTATTTTGAAACAAATATTTTGAACTCGTGTGAAATTGGCAAAATTACCAATTTCTTATCACTTTATTGGGTAGCTGAAATAGTTGATTGGGCAATTTCTTGTGCTCAATCAATAAAATAAAAGTAATACTAGTGAAATAGCTAAGAATCTGGTCAACTGGAATAATGTAATTGGCCTAAAATGGGAGTCAAAGTGGGCAAAATCGTTGATGAGTAAATATCGCTGACACAGCAAAATTTGAGATCATAATTTCATCAATTTTCCAGCAAATTTCATACTTTTTGTTTTATTACCCCTCAGAAAAAGATTCTCTACCATTTCATACGAAAACATTAAAAAAAAAAAAAAAAGACACCAGGAATCCTACCATCATATAAAACAATTACAAGCTTCCATTTTACACTCATTTGGCAGGACGGTAGCACCTCCCTGGGCGGTTGCTGTCTACTAACCTTAATGTGTACTCAAATATACAGAACAATCACATTCCATATAATGAAATTAATGAATACTTACATGCTAAGAAGAGCCAAGTTGAGGTCATGTGTGGAGCCATGACTGTATGGATCTTTTCCCTGTAATTCACATTCTAGCCTGCAAAGATTGCATATTCATGTGTTAATGTTAACCTAAGAAAAAAAATCAGAGAACACATTTGCAAAAAAAAAAAAAAAATTTAAGATTATTATCACCATGGGAGTGCTAAACCCACAGGGATTATGCAGCACCTGGGGGGAGGGGGATGGAAGGCCTGAATTCAGGCTCAATTCAGGGAACTGGAGCACAAATCCAATTCTTTAGATTAAATGACCCTCATCAGTGTTGAGGAACCTCCCTTGAGAAGCAAGAATTTAAGAACATCAGGAACAATGCAATAGGCTTACTGGCCTATGCAAAACAGGTTCTATTTATGGCCAATTATTTTTATTCATTAAACATTTTCAAATGATCAGCCTGACAACCACCACTTGGTTAATTAATCCTTGTGCCTTCAATTCCACTGTCAGTCTAATGCAAACATAAGGATCTTCAACAAATGAATGAGTTGCATTACTGATTTTTTTTTTGTAACTTGAGCATTCAGTAATCAGAATTTTTCACATTAACTCATAGAGGGTAGTAGGGTCCTAGTAGATAATTTTTTTTTTTTTTTTTTTGGGGGGGGGGCTGTATGTGCAATTATATGCATGCATGCATGCACACGCACTCACCTCTATGCGGCTACAGGAGTAGAGTCCTAACACCTGTCCCCACCCTTCTGCAATTTACCAAGTCACTCCCTCCTAGCCTTGTGGGTCCTATTACACATGCTCTTAAAGCACTCCCTCCTAGCCTCATGGATCCTATTATACATGCTCTTAAAACTATGGATGGAGCCTGCCTCCAACACTTTAAGGTCATTCCACTTCCTGACCATTCTGAGGTTTAAGAAATGTTTCTTGACATCCCTGCTTGTAGATAATTTTCTCAAGTACAGTGGTCCCTTAAGTTATAATAAATTACGTTAAGTGGGAAGCAGCCAGTGCATTAAAAAAAAAAAAATCGGCTGTCTCCCACCAAGGAAGAGTAACCCCAAAAAAGAAATGAAAGTTTTTCTTCTTTTTTCATTCCCATACAAACACATATAAACAGTAATTATCCGAGGGATGAGATGAATATGGTGGAACCTAGGTACCTGAACAGCTCTGTACTTAAACAATTCAGTATTCAAATGCTTTGTTCGGTAAACAAATCACTCAGTAGTCAACCATTTGCTCGGCACTCGACCAAACAAACACAACCTGCCAGAACTTCGCTGTAAACTATTTTGTGTTTCTTCATATTTTTTTTATATTATTTGTATAAATAATTCATCATGGGGCCTAAGAGGGTTAGTGATAACAGCCAACCAAAAGGAAAACTGGTTGGGAAAAATGCATCTGGCACTCAAACAGCCCTCTAGAACCAATTAAGTTCGAGTGCCAAAGTTCCATTATATACAACCTCTCTTCCTTAGCGATGTACTCATTTACCAACAATTCAGACTTACGACAGGCTCTCTGACCAGTGTGCATACCTAAATAATGTACATGTATATTAGAACTGATTTCCTCTATTCTGTTTATTACAATATACAGTACAGTGCTGTATAAACATTTAAAAATATACCAGAAATGTTATAAATGGTACAAGGTGACATTAAAACAATATCAAAGATGATTGATACAAACCCACTACCATCATAGTATGCTCCTCACTTAGTGATGAATTCATTTATCGACATGGTCTTAGGACTGCAACTCAGTCATTAAGTGAAAAGAGGCTGTATACTGTATAAAAGTTTACAATGAGGTTGCAGAGACTACTCTTGTCTAAATCTTAAGTGTGTTGGAACCAATGACATACTCCCAAATTACTCTCATGAATGCCACATAAGCTGAATAGTAAATTTCTTGAAAATAACAATAGTATATGAATTAAGATTTTTAAAAACTTACTTTGGACTTTTCTACCAAAATTTCCAAAATACTTTGCCTTGACAGTTACCTGAGTGCTTTTACAAGTGTGTGTTGCTGGGCCATGAGAAAGTTAACTTGTGACTGTAAAACAGCAATTTCCCCATCTCTTTCCCGCAGCTGCGCCTGAAGATCAGCAACGTTATCTTCCAAGGTTTGACACATAGCCTGAAATATTTTATTAATGAGAAAGCGCTAAACTAGTAGGGCTCATACAGTACCTGGGGAATGGGAGACAATCAGAAGGTAATTAATTCCTAGAATCAGGAACATTTTACTAGCAAAGAAAAATTCAGCATTTGACAACTTATGGATGAAACACATACACAGTAGAGCCCCGCTTATATGGAAGGTTAGGTTCCAGCTACCACTGTAAAGTGAATCACTTTCTTTCCCTTTTAAATCCATATACAGTGGACCCCTGGTTCACGTTATTAATCCGTTCCTGAGAGCTCATCGTAAAGCAAAATTATCGGAAAGCGAATAAATTTTTCCCATAAGAAATAATGGAAATCAAATTAATCCGTGCAAGACACCCAAAAGTATGAAAAAAAAAACTTTTACCATATGAAATATTAAGTTTAATGCAATAGAATAATTACAGTAACAATAATAACAATAGAATAATCACAATAGAATAATTGACACTTACCTTTAATGAAGATCTGGTGATGATTGACGGGATGGGAGGAGGGGAGAGTGTCGAAGTTTTTAATGTTTAGAAGTGGGTGAGATGTTATCAACAAATTTTGTTGAAAATAAGAAAGTTTTGGAGTGAGATTAACAAGTTAAGGAAGCCTAGAGAACAAATGGGTTTGTCAGTTAAAAATAGGAGAGGAGAGTTATTAAATGGAGAGTTAGAGGTATTGGGAAGATGGAGGGAATATTTTGAGGAATTGTTAAATGTTGATGAAGATAGGGAAGCTGTGATTTCGTGTATAGGGCAAGGAGGAATAACATCTTGTAGGAGTGAGGAAGAGCCAGTTGTGAGTGTGGGGGAAGTTCGTGAGGCAGTAGGTAAAATGAAAGGGGGTAAGGCAGCCGAGATTGATGGGATAAAGATAGAAATGTTAAAAGCAGATGGGGATATAGTTTTGGAGTGGTTGGTGCAATTATTTAATAAATATATGGAAGAGGGTAAGATACCTAGGGATTGGCAGAGAGCATGCATAGTTCCTTTGTATAAAGGCAAAGGGGACAAAAAAGAGTGCAAAAATTATAGGGGGATAAGTCTGTTGAAAGAAAAAAAAGAAAGGTAAAGAGAGTGGTGAGAGAGTGCAAAAGGAGAGCAGATGATAGAGTGGGAGAGGCACTGTCAAGAAATTTTAATGAAAATAAGAAAAATTTTTGGAGTGTTTTAAACAAGTTAAGAAAGCCGGGGAAAAATATGGATTGTCAGTTAAAAAACAGAGTGGGGGAGTTAGAATGGGGAGATGGAGGAAAGGGGGTAAGGCGAAATATTTGAGGAATTTTTTAAATGTTAAGGAAGAAACAGGGGGGAGTAATTTTCATGCCTGGTCGGGGGGGATACCATCTTTTAGGAGTGAAGAAGAGCAAAATGTAATGTGGGGGGGGTTTTGTGGGGCATTACGTAAAATGAAAGGGGGTAAAGCAGCTGGAACGATGGGATCATGACAAAAAATTTTAAAAAGCGGGGGGGGATATGGGTTGGAGTGGTTGGTACTTTTGTTTAATAAAATGTATAAAAGGGGAAGGTACCTAGGATTGGCGAGAGCTGTATAGTCCCTTTATATAAAGAAAAAGGGGGGACAAAAGAGACTGAAAAAAATTATAGAGGAATAAGCTTACTGAGTATCCGGGAAAAGTGTTGGAGGGTTAAAATTTGAAAGAATTAAGGTAAGAAAAATGAGGATTCGGATAGCAAGGGGTTCAGAGGGGGTAGGGGATGTGTAGACAGGTGTTTATAATTGAAGCATATATGTAACGTTTTAGATAAAGATGGGAAGTTTTTTTAGATTTTTTGGATTTAAAAAGGGATATGATAGAGTGGAAGAGGAGCAAGTGGGAATGTTGCAAGTATAAGGAATAAGGGGGAATTTTAAATGCTGTAAAGAGTTTTTATGGGATAGTGAGGCTCAGGTTAGGGTGTGTAAAGAAGGGAGGGGTATTCCCGGGAAAAGTGGCTTAGACAGGGATTGTAATGTCACCATGGTTGTTTTAAAAATTTTTAGATGGGGTTTAAAGGAAGTAAAACTAGGGGGTTGGGGGAGGATGGGGTTAAATTTTGGGGAAACAAATTCAAAATGGGAATTAACAGTTTTCTTTTTGCTGATGAACTGTGCTTAGGGAGATTTAAAGAAAAATTGCAAAGGTTTGGGTGATTGGGAAAGTGTTAAAGGTGAAAGTTGAAAGTGAACATAAAAAAGAGTAAGGTGATGAGGGTTGTCAAATGATTTAGTAAGAAAAATTGGATTTCAAATGGGGAGGAGGAGTATGGAAAAAGTGAATGTTTTTTTAGATACTTGGGGGTTGACATGTCGGCGGTGGTTTATGGGGGGTGAGGTTTTCATAAAAATTTATGAGGGGAAAAAAGGTGATTTGGGGCGTTGGGGGTTGTGGAGTTAAAAAAACTTATCTTGGAGGCAAAAAGGGAATGTTGAAATATGTTCCCAAAACTCTTAAAGGGGGTGAAGCTTGGGGGGTAAATGCAGCAGCGAGGAGACGGTTGGACAGTGGGATGTCCCGTTTAAAGGGGAATGTGTTGTAAAATTTTTGCAGAAAATTCGGAGTGGGAAATTAGGGAAAGGGGTGGAGTTAAAAAAAGATTTGTCAAGGCAGAAAGGGTTGTTGAGGGGGTTTGGGATTTAGAGAGAATGGATAAAGTAGAATGACAAAACATATAAATTTTTATAGGGAAGGAAAGGGGGGGTAGGGGTGTCCTCGAAAGGGTTGGGGGAGGGGGGGGTAAAAGGGGGTTTTGTGGGCAAGGGGCTTGACTTCCAGCAAGCCGGGCGTGAGGTTTAATAGGAGTGAATGGAGACGAATGGTACTTGGGACCTGACGATCTGTTGGAGTGTGAGTAGGGTAATATTTAGTGAAGGGATTCAGGAAACCGGTTATTTTCATATAGTCGGACTGAGTCCTGAAATGGGAAGTACAATGCCTGCACTTTAAAAGGAGGGGTTTGGGATATTGGCAGTTTGGAGGGATATGTTGTGTATCTTTCTATGTGTATGCTTCTAGACTGTTGTATTCTGAGCACCTCTGCAAAAACAGTGATAATGTGCGAGTGTGGTGAAAGTGTTGAATGATGATGAAAGTATTTTCTTTTTGGGGATTTTCTTTCTTTTTTGGGTCACCCTGCCTCGGTGGGAGACGGCCGACTTGTTGAAAAAAAAAAAAAAAAAAAAAAGTCTGTTGAGTATACCTGGTAAAGTGTATGGTAGAGTTATTATTGAAAGAATTAAGAGTAAGACAGAGAATAGGATAGCAGATGAACAAGGAGGCTTTAGGAAAGGTAGGGGTTGTGTGGACCAGGTGTTTACAGTGAAACACATAAGTGAACAGTATTTAGATAACTCTAAAGAGGTCTTTGTGGCATTTATGGATTTGGAAAAGGCGTATGACAGGGTGGATAAGGGGGCAATGTGGCAGATGTTGCAGGTGTATGGTGTAGGAGGTAGGTTACTGAAAGCAGTTTAGAGTTTTTACGAGGATAGTGAGGCTCAAGTTAGAATATGTAGGAAAGAGGGAATTATTTCCCAGTAAAGTAGGCCCTTAGACAAGGATGTGTGATGTCACCGTGGTTGTTTAATATATTTATAGATGGGCTTGTAAGAGAAGTAAATGCGAGGGTCTTGGCAAGAGGCGTGGAGTTTAAAAGATAAAGAATCACACATAAAGTGGGAGTTGTCACAGTTGCTCTTTGCTGATGACACTGTGCTCTTGGGAGATTCTGAAGAGAATTGCAGAGATTGGTGGATGAATTTGGTAGGGTGTGCAAAAGAAGAAAATTAAAAGTGAATACAGGAAATAGTAAGGTTATGAGGATAACAAAAAGATTAGTGATGAAGATTGGATATCAGATTGGAGGGAGAGAGTATGGAGGAGGCGAATGTATTCAGATATTTGGGAGTGGACGTATCAGCGGATGGGTCTATGAAAGATGAGGTGAATCATAGAATTGATGAGGGGAAAAGGGTGAGTGGTGCACTTAGGAGTCTGTGGAGACAAAGAACTTTGTCCTTGGAGGCAAAGAGGGGAATGTATGAGAGTATAGTTTTTACCAACGCTCTTATTGGGTGTGAAGCATGGGTGATGAATGCTGCAGCGAGGAGAAGGCTGGAGGCAGTGGAGATGTCATGTCTGAGGGCAATGTGTGGTGTGAATATAATGCAGAGAATTCGTAGTTTGGAAGTTAGGAGGTGCGGGATTACCAAAACTGTTGTCCAAGGGCTGAGGAAGGGTTGTTGAGGTGGTTCGGACATGTAGAGAGAATGGAGCGAAACAGAGTGACTTCAAGAGTGTATCAGTCTGTAGTGGAAGGAAGGTGGGTAGGGGTCAGCCTAGGAAAGGTTGGAGGGAGGGGGTAAAGGAGGTTTTGTGTGCGAGGGCTTGGACTTCCAGCAGGCATGCGTGAGCGTGTTTGATAGGAGTGAATGGAGACAAATGGTTTTTTAATACTTGACGTGCTGTTGGAGTGTGAGCAAAGTAACATTTATGAAGGGGTTCAGGGAAACCGGCAGGCCAGACTTGAGTCCTGGAGATGGGAAGTACAGTGCCTGCACTCTGAAGGAGGGGTGTTAATGTTGCAATTTAAACTGTAGTGTAAAGCACCCTTCTGGCAAGACAGTGATGGAGTGAATGATGGTGAAAGTTTTTCTTTTTCGGGCCACCCTGCCTTGGTGGGTATCGGCCAGTGTGATAATAAAAAAAAAAAAAAGGGGGAATCCCCTTCCATTAGGACTTGAGGTAGCAAGTCCTTTTCCGGGGTTACTTCCCTTCTTCTTTTAATGCCACTAGGACCAGCTTGAGAGTCACTGGACTTCTGTCGCACAACATATCTGTCCATAGAGGCCTGTACCTCTCGTTCCTTTATGACTTTCCTAAAATGGGCCATAACATTGTCATTGTAATAGTCACCAGCACGGCTTGCAATAGCTGTGTTAGGATGATTTTCATCCATAAAGGTTTGCAGTTCAACCCAC